TTGTTAACTTGTGGTTAACACTTTTCAGGAATAGGATGCACTGCAGAGAAAAGCAGCCCGGGAAGAGATAGCTTGTTTAGGCAATCTCTCCCCTCTGCAAGGGGGGAAAAATGGGTCAGGTACAGGACAATGTGTACTAATTGACTGTAATGGCGAACACATGACAGAGAGAGAGAGAGAGAGAGCGAGCGCAAAGGTCATGAATGTGGGCATTGGTCGCAAAGTTACATTTTCATCACTGTTGTAACTGCAAATAGTCGCTGACTGAGGATGTTGGAAATATCAGAATTCTGAATAAAACTTTTGCTAAGGACAGCATCCTTTTACCTTTGAGAATACACTGAGGGTATAACAGTTGTCCATTATTGCATTGCACCAGCAATTTGGATTCTGAGACTAAGGGTGGCAAAACATATCCTGGTTTACATGCAAATTCAATAATGTCACCATGTTGGAAATACCATTCTTCTTCAAGCTTCCATTTCATTTCTATGTTGTAATTGCCAGGAATTTCTTCCCTAGCTAAACATGGCTCTATAAGACAAGAATTAACAATAATATGATATTAAGTTCTATAATTAGAAAATTATTGGCACTCAGTAATTTCCCAAGCCACAAATCTAGTTGATTACAGATATTGGGAGATAGGAAAGGGGAACATTCTTAATTTATGGTTAACAATGATTTGCTGCCCTAGTCTCCTGCCTTAGATAGAAAGCCTAGTGGTGATCAGCAGTGTCATGGCCATTAGAGTCATGGCCCCCAGTATAAAAAAACAACTGATTAATCATTTGATGTATTACTCACATTTCAGCAGCTCAATCCATGGAGATATGTCAGTTGTGATAACCAAACTATATATTCAAACACGTTTTGAGTGTTAATTATGATGGCCAAATTTTGTGTCTTAACCACACTGAAAGCATTCAGTTTTCAAACTGTTTTGGAGAAGAAATTTTTGGAGACAAACAGCATTATACTTTTAAAGAATGATAGGATTTATAGGAACATAATGCTGAATGTTTCCTTAGCCTAGTTTGAAAATGAAAAATTTATAGAATAGCAATGTACTATAGCGGTCTTTCAGTCTAAGGTCTTCCATCTGCAATATATGAATGGGATTAGGCATCCAGTGTCAGAATCCTTGCAATCAATCACTTGCACCACTAGTTCGCTTGCTTCGTTTCTGCCATTACAGTAGAGAGGGAGGAAGGGAGAAATGGTTGGAATGTTAACCGTTAGGCTCAGATGGGCCATTATCTGGCTCTCAGGAATGCCCAAGGTCGTACCAACGCGGGAACCTAAGAACATCTTCAACATGCACAAGAGAGATTCAAAGAAGGGGGAGCGAAATGGGAGTGAGGTAAAACCAAGTTTCGGCACACGCAGGACTCAGTTCCAGCTATGTTTCTGGAGCTGCTCACTACTTAGCAATAAATGAACTTTCCTTTGAACCTGCATTGGTTTCAATGAGAGTTGCTTTCATTGAGAACTGAGTACCGCGGTTCTTACACCAGAGGTATATGAAAATGACAATAGGTCCCCATGTTCTTATATTACTCTGTTGATATAAAGTAATATAAGATATCTTTTTATATAAAATAAAAGATGATACATATGGCCATGTGAGGGATGGGAACTTCTAACACAGAGTTCTGAGCTTGTTTCTCAATATTCCTGTAATGCATGCTAATCTCTAATGTTATACAGTATTTCAGAAGATCTTGAATGAAAGCTGGCAAATATGTTAAGATGTAAAAATATTAAGATCTGGTATTACATCATTCTTTTATTCATTCTTGCACAGTTCTCTTCAATTTAATAATGTATATAATTGATTTGTTCTTCAAGGCTTACCCAAACAAATTGGTGACTCAGTCCAAGCTCCATGGACACAATGAATTGTATTGGATCCTTTCATTATATGCAAAGGACGACATGCATATTCCACTAGAGATCCAGGTTTGTAACTTGCCAATGGAACAACATCATTAATAACAATACTATTTTTAACTACAGGAGGGGAATTGCAATTTCTGTCAGTTTCTACAATCTGACGATCTTCTGTTGTTAGTGGCCTGCCCACATCTGAGAAATAAACAAAAAGATGGAAAAAAGTAAAACAAAACAAAACAAATTCTAATGATGCTCAGGTATACTTTATCAGAATCATTATATAAATGGCATTTCAATCCTCTTGCATTTTTAAGTTACAAATTTCCTTTTTCTCTTTCTCAACATGTTAGCATTATGAGATCCAAGAAAATAGCTAGGAAAATTCAGAACTCAGCAAAGGTATTAACAATTGACAATTGACACATGGTACTAATCCTAATTATCTAGTCACTAGACAATTGATACATGGTACTTGACACATAGTACTAGTCAATTTCCTGCTACCTCTCTGTCTTGGAAAAGGGACAGTTTTTAGTTCCAGGAATAAAGATGTCTGAGCAATATGTTCATTGTTCATTCTTACAGGAAATAATATGATCTGAATCTCTTGGATAGAACTAGCTTTCCAGAATATCTAATATCTAAAATAGTCACTTTTGGGTGACTAAATATACCTGAATGCATATCACATTTATATTTGGGAAAAAATACACAAGATAGGCATTAAACTATGTCTTAAAATTCTATCTTCCAAAATGTAATTATCTAACACTGATATTTAGAGACCGACCTATGCATTTGGGAGGTGAAGTCCATTTGCCATTCTCACATCGGATTTCTCCAGTTCCATTAAGTTGAAAAGAATGCTCACACTGAAAATGTATTATGTCTCCTGGATGGTAAGTTCTTAAATTGGTTAGTAATTTGGTATTTGGGGGCTGAGGTGGAGGAGGGCATTTGTTTCTTCTTTCTGTAATCATAATAATAAATAATAAACAATAGCAAAATACCATTTTTGTTTGGTTAATAAAAGCTTTACAATACAGTCTTTCAGAAAAACCATGTCCAAAGATATCTTGGAGTAAAACAGGCAATAAAGCAGTTTGCTCTATAATGAAAATTAATTTAACGGCATTATTTTTTTTCGAGAAAAAAATTTAACCACATCCCACTTTCTACTATTTTTCAAAGGTAATAAGTAGAGGTGAATCAAAGCATCCCTCACAGAATTCCAAGTAACCGAAATGTAAAAGACACCTAGTTGGGAAAAAATAATTTTAAAGTTAAACATGCTATATATAAACAGTAACATTTAGTTTATGCTCTTTAATTGATGATTCAGGATAATCTTTTCTTCCTAATTATTTCTGCAACATATTTAAAGCAAATTACATAATCAGTGATTTTGGTATTGCATAGAAAAAAGGAACTGATAAAGAAAATATTAATGGAGGTTGTTCTACCAAAATGGAGGCTCACAATTGTCCAGTAATCTTCAATCCAGTGTTCCTCAACCTTGGCAACTTTAAGATCTGTGGACTTCAATTCCCACAAGGCTGGCTGGGAGTTGAAGTCCACATATCTTAAAATTGCCAAGATTGAGAAACACTGCTTTAATCTATGGTTAAAGCTTACCTCTTGTCCAATGAACCAGGTTGCTCTAACAACTTTCATTCTGTCTCCAGAGTTTTTGCTGTCTGTGGGCTATGCTAAATTAGGGTGCCTCTTCAGAAGCAAGTCCTGATTGTTGAACCGCAACATGATCTACCCTCCAGGTCCTAGAGTTTGAATCCAGTTCTGCAGCCAGCCAAGTATCCTGCCTGCCTGATCATTCTAGAGCTTTTCCTCAAGCTTGATTTAACATCCTTCCATCTGCTCTGCTGGAAGGCAGATTTAATAGGACTCCCTATGAGGAGTGCACCTGCCTGTTTGAATTTTAAACATGGCAAAGGGCTGGGTTATTTGAGGAACTACCTCTCCCCAACCATGTCTACCCATCCCATCATGTCTGGCAGGCAGGCATGTTGCAGGTCCTATCCACAAAGGAATGACCCAGGAGGAGAGCCTTTTCTGCTGCGGCACCTACCCTGTGGAAGATTATTCCCCCAAGGTCAGATTGGCCCTGACCTTTCCAGAAGAGCCTGAAAACACAGCTTTGCCACATGGCCTGGGGATCCAGTAATGTGAATATGGAACCTGCAAAATGGCTGTATTGCTAGGGAAATTGAGTGCACTGTCCTGCTGATTATGGGGATTTTGAAATGGTTTTTTAAACTTTTTTATTGTTTTTGATGATTTTTAATGATTTTTGTTGTTAAGTTTTTGGTTATTTTGTTTTATTGTTTTGTGCTTTTAGCTTTGTATGCCAGAGTCACATATATCAGATGGATGCCTATACAAGTTTACCAAATAAGTAAGAGAACTGTGAATAATATAAGAGAATTACCTTCACATATTGGAAACTTTGGATACCAGCCAAAGTAATAACACTGAATTAACTCAGACCCTCTCAAAGTATAACCTTCCAAGCAGATAAACTGAATTACATCTCCTTCTTCATAACTGCCCTTCTTGGGGTAGACATCTCCATGCTCAACAGGATTTGGAGATGAACACTCTAATTCTAAAATGGAAGGCAAAGTGAGAATGAACATGAGTAAGTGATCTATTTTTCAGTGTTGATACATATCACCTACTTAGAATGCTGGTCTTGGCCTGAAGCAAATCTTGTAAATCAACTTACTAGTACATTTGGGAACAAGAGACCAGCCTTGAACTTGACATAGTACTTCCTCTGTTGTGTTTCCTCCAGCTGTAAGATATCCATCAGTGCATTCATATCTGAGCTTGTCATTTACACTGAACACTCTCTGGACTGTATGATAGTGACCATGCAGCAGATCTGGTGCTAAACAAGTCTCTGAAAACAAATAGTAGAAAAACCAGACAAACCTTGAGAGAAGGGAAGAGGAAGAATAGGTTGTGCAGAAAAATGTACATTATATGTGTATCATTATTATTATTGTTATATAAATTATAAATTATATTTTATAATTCACCGAGACCTTAACTTATTTGGAGACAAACCTAAACATGGAAGTGACAAGTTAGACATAAAATTAAGTCAGGTATAGCACAGTCAGAGTAATTCAAACACTTTTCTTTCAGGTTAACTGACCTCAGTTGGGGATTAGAAAGGTCACATATAATTCTATTGGTCTATTGGGTCATTTGGTAGGTTCTGCACAGCCTGGGCAGAACCTTATCCTCAGTCCTTGCAGGACCTTTTATCTTGGGGAAGATGGGTGTTAAGGGATGAGAAGTTCTGCAACTTTCAAGAGGTGACAAAAATAGGAAAATTAGATGAATTAGCATTTTATTTTTTAAGCTTAAACAATAAGTCTGAAATGTCAAAGGATGGCACTCTTCGTTTCTGGTTTGCACACTGTTTCTTCTAAGACTCAAAAAAATATCAGGCTGGCATCATCTCTCTCTGGCAAACATGTTTAGTGGTACATATAGTAAGATTATTTGCTAAAAATAAATCTGTTCTGCTTGCCAGAATTCCAGATTTGAGACGCAACTTTTTACCCACAAAATGGAATGCTTATTGAACAAACTTAACAATTTTAAAAATATTAATTTTAATAGTACCTCATTTTAGTTGTACTGATAATTAGACTCATCCAGGTGAACAACGTTATGCATATCTCACCAAAACTAAGTTCCATTAAGTTCAATAAACTTTCCAAGTAAGCATGTGTACAACTGGAGCTTTATAACACACATTTACTTAGAAGTAAATCCTAAAACTACCATTCTTACTGAGCCAGTGGAATTTACTTTGGAATTTACTATGGAATTTACTTTGACTAGACCTCTGTTGGCTTATACTCTACTGGGTTATTTCTTTTTCAGTACAAATAAGTTGCAAATATTTAACCTATGCATACAGTTATTGGCTTGTTGAAATCTGAGAAGCATGGGGTGGGAATTTAGATGCTTGTACACATCCTCCTTTATGCTTTATATATTTGGATCAATGAACAGAAAAACTGAATTTCTGTTAAAGGAGATAAAAACATTTATATTTAGTTAACCTTTCCCCAGTGGCATTTGTACTACAGTAGAAACAATATTTGTCAGGAATGTCCCATTTAGATCTGCATTTTCAAGTTGGTTATTTAATATATTTTAATTCCACTCTTCAGCTGAAAAGATTCCAATAGTAATAGTCTCTTACATTCTATAAGGCATGACAGAAAAGAAAAGAGGCATAGAGAGGTAAGTTGAAAAAGAAAAAAAGCAAACCCACACTTTATTTCTTAGTTAAATCATCATTCTTATAAAGATCACTGGAATGGGTGCTTTGAAATGCACAGGGTTTCAACATTTTCATTTTTAAGCAACACTCTTCCACTCCTTTCTCCCAATAATAGTAATGATTTATTTTATGCTGTTCATACTTTTTCTCAATGCAGTAAATCCATAATTGTGCCATTGCAAAGGCCATAAGGATGGAAATGTTTTCTCCCAAGGGGAATCAAGAGTGGAGAGACTTTGAAGATTTTGTTTTACTAAATCTTATTTCTAGGATATTTTCTTACACACATATTCTCAAAGATCACAAAATCAGTAATAATCTCCATCAGTGGAAAATATTCCATGGAAATTTCTGCTAGATGATTCAATGTCCTAACACCAATAATAACATCGCTTAAAATCTTCTTAATAACTTGAGAGCTGTGGGGTGAGAGTAGGGGAGAGAGACATTACCTAAAGGTTTTTTAGTTGCGTCCACACACTCTGGCTGAACTGGCCATCCATCTTGAAGACATTGTATGGTTGCATCCCTCTTGCCTTCTGGAGTTTGATAGCCTGAATGGCAACTATATTCTAAGTTTTCCCAGATGTTGTAGGACAGTTTTGTATCAGAAAAAACACCATTATCCAAAGTAGGTTGGGAACATTTCTCTTCAGCGTGTTAAATAAAAAGATTAGGAAAATATTATATTTTTTCTTTGTTCATAAAACTTCAGTCTTTCATGGCAAGAATTGTATTATAGAAAGGACCTATAATCACTTAGCCAAATTCTATTCATCAAGAAACCATGTTAATATTTTGAGAAACTAATAGTATTCAAGGTAGGTTAGGAGAGCAGGGATGGATTAATAAAATAATTATGTGAGAGGCCAGGTAGCTGTAGAGAATATAAATGTCCTCTTTTATAATTTACATACATTTTTTCATATCCATTTTTCTATCCCAATTTTATTTTACAATCCCTAGGAATCTGGCTATAAGTAAGAACTTTACATAGCTTCTTACTTCATTCCAGATTAGAAATCCTTTGCAGTTGTAGGAACTACACATTCACATATGGCTTTCTTCTATAGAAGTTTCCATGTTGATTTTAGTTGAATGAAATAAACATAGAAACATGCAAAATGATGAAAAATAATCAATGGAAATTCATTGATACTGATGTGCTCATACCAGAGATATATGCATGTATCAAAGCCTATATTGGGAAACATTTTTTTAAACTGTCAAATTGTATATAGAGAGGTTGCTTAGAAAATCCAATTTTGACCATATCCTAACTATGTTTTATATATAAAATTAAAATTTCCTTACAATATGAAGGATACTACATTTATTTTCTAACCAGACTAGAAAAGACAAGGATATGGACTTACTGTAACATTTGGGGACTGGTTTCCAGCCTTCATTTGTGCAGTTTACCCTTGCATTTTGACTCCCAGTTTCAGTTGAAAACCCAGCCAAGCAGGTGTATGAAAGCTTTTCACCTTTCTTCATTGGAAAATAGTATTTTTGAAAACTATAATAATATAGTGCCATCCTTCCATTTTCTATATTGGGGAAGTCACAAGCTTTGTCTAGAAGAAATGTGTTAATATTCAAGTAGGAAGAAATAAGAAATATACCAGTCAAACAACTTTATTTCAAACAAGGGCAACAGGCAAATGGAAAAAAAGACTGGAAGCCATGTCTTTTTAAAATATGGTAACAGTGCCTTTGACTATATTCACAAGAATCCAACTGAGCACGGCATTGTTTCTATTTCATGACTCTGATTTTGAGAATAAAAAGGCCCCAAAATCTATAATACACATATAGATTTGCTCACTCGGCAAGACCTAGACATTCTGGAAAGTGAAGTTAAATGGGCATTATTAACTTATTGTTAATAATAAAGCTGCACTTTATAGCATCCTCAATAGGAAGGAAGGCAAGGGGAGACAAGGGTCAGAAATAGCATCATGACATCACAATGCAAACCCTGTGACATATGTATGCTGTACTTGTTTGACATCAAGAAACAATTACAAAAGGGCAGAGTTTGCATTGTGACATCACACATCATCTTTTCCTCATCTGACACCTGTGTGCAGGATTGATTAAATACCAGAACTTTTAAAACTCTTACAAAACAATGCAGTTAAAATGCACATGTGATTTATAAGCAGAGATGGAAAACACAGATAAACATAAAATATAAAAGAGCCATTTCTATTCCAATGCTGGGAGTCCTCATTCAGCAACCACAATTGGGACTGGGAACTTGGTCATTAAGTGAGATGGTCACTAAGTGAAACTGTTGCTGTGTTTATATCTGACTTCAGTTTTCCTTTGCTTTACAGACCTGCAAAGATTTTAAATGCGAGGATTGGTTGTAAAGCTACTTTTTTATCACCATCATAACTGCAAATGGTTGCTAAATGAGGCATTCACTAAACGAGACTGTACCCAAAAAAGTGCTGAAAAATGCACGTTAATAAAATAATGCTCAAGATTTTGCTATGCAAACTTCAACAGTACATGGAACAAGAACTGCCAGATGTATAAGCAGAAGAGGCAGGGGCACTTAAGATCACATTGTTAACATCTGAGTGATAATAGGAAAAAAAATGGGAATTCCAAAATGAAGTCTAATTTTGCTTTGCTTATACAAAGACTGTTAGTAATAATACTTTATTAACTGTATATGCTGCCCAACTCCTAGTGATTCTGGGTGATTTACAGCTGTTAAAAACATTTTAAAACAAAGTACAATAAAACAGCATAAGACAAAAGAACAAAGATGTCAAAGAAAACAAACCTGGAGAGGAAGAAGGAAAAGGAAGTAAGGGGTGTCTGTCATTCTTGCCAAAGGCCTGGGCAAAGAGCTATGTCTTCAGAGCCCTTCAAAATACTGGTAGGGTGGGGGCCATTCAAATCTTGCGGAGAACCTTATTCCAGAGGGCAGGCACTGCTACAGAGAAGGTATGCTTCCAGGGTCCTGCCAGATAGCATTGCTTAATCAAGGGAACTTGGAGTGTGCCAACCCTGCCAGATCAAACTAGACAGGCAGATACTATAGGAGACAAGTGGTCCCTCAAGTAACCAGGTCCTCTGCCATGTAGGGCTTTTTAGATAGTGACCAGCATCTTGAATCACATGCAGAACCAAACTGGCAACCAGTGCAGCTCGCGAAGCAGATGTGTTACATGGGCATACCAAGGCATGCCCATCACTGCCTGTGCAAGAGCATTCTGGACCAGCTGAAGCTTCTGGGTGGTCTTCAAGGGCAACCCCATGTACAGCGCATGGCAACAATCAAGCCGTGAGATGACCAGGGCATGAGTGACTGTCTGAAGGACCAGATGAAGGTGGGCAATAGCCTTCCTGGCCACACCTGTCACCTGCTCATCAAGCAGGTGCTCTGAGTCCAGGAAGACCCCCAAATTGCTCACCACCCTTGAATGGGGAAATGCAACCTCATCAAAGGTCAAAGTTGGAATATCACCAGATCTGGGTGGTCCAAATGCCCACAGCCACTCAGTCTTGGTAGAATTGAGTCAGAGACATTTCCTCCCCATCCAAACCTCCAAATGTCCATCAGAGACA